GGGACTGGCGGAAATGTCCCGGTGTGGGTAACTTTTTTTTTTTTTTTTTTTTTTTTTTTTTTTTTGGTACCAGGGATTGAACTCGGGACCACTGAGCTAAATCCCGGGCCCAAGGAGACCCTTTTGAGTTTTCAATGATACAAACAACCCATTGTGGCATGAATGCAGTAGGTTTGCTACCACTGAAGCCCTAAGGACTACACTGTACAAACTTTTGCACTTAGCAAGTTTAACTATTACAATGAGGCACAAGTACCATTTCACTTTATTGTTATATCTAAGACGCACGATACTACACCATTCTACTTAAAACAGTATTCCTAACATTAGTTTTACTATCTGTAATTGTTACTTTGATTAAACTTTTGAGAATTTATGTGATCTTATTCCACACAAATAGTTACATCCACTTCCCAGTACTGTATTCAGTTCTAAATAGTTACCCGGAACATGTGAACCAGACAACTGTTACTTATTTTTTCTACCATTCCCAAATAACTGAAAAATGAACAATATACCCAGGTTGCGTGCGATTAGTGAAGAAGGTGCAGGGTGCAAATCAGAATTTAAATAGTAGAAAACCGATTATGTCTGAGTCCTTGTTGCTTGACTATGCTACTCTGAAGAATGGTCTGTGGATTAGCAGCATCAGTTTCACTTGGGACCTGGTTAGAAGGGCGGAATCGTAGGCCTGGTCCCAGACCTTCTGAATCAAAATTTGTATTTTAACCGAAATCCCAGATGATCATATGCACTTTTGAATTTTAGACCAAGGATTTTAATCATGACTTGATTTGGATTTGTTCCAAAATCAAAGTATCTAGAGGGTTGTAACCTTGAAACAATAAGGGAAAACAGTACTTTCCCTAAGTGAACGTTTTCTTTTCCTCCCCCTACACCGCTGCTTTGGGGTCCAGGAAGGCCCAGCCCTCCCTAACCCACACCTGGGGCCTCCCGGGCAGGAGCCAACGCCTTTGGGGTCCGGTAGTCCGCAGTGCGGCTACCGCCGGGCAGCCACCCCCCTCCCTTAGCCAGCCGCGCTCGGTTCACTCCGCGGGGCAGGTAAGCCACGCGGAAGGCCGCACGTGGGCAAAACAGTGCGGCTTCCAGCCCGGGAGGCGCTCGCCAGGCATAGAGAAAAGGCCTTTGGCGACAGAGGACCTCGCGTTCCGGCCCTGGACATTGCGGCCAGGGTCTTAGGCCCGAGACCCTCACCTTCAGCAACAAATCGATCAGGTAGACGACAGCCCAGCCACCCACCACTAAGGCCACCAGCGACATCGGAATCATGGCGGCAGCGGAAAAAAGGCGAGTGCCGGCGTCCTCCTTACTGCGAGCCGCAAACCACCAACGGTAGTCCGATGCTTTATAGCCCCAACATCGGCGCAGGTACTAAGTTTTCTTCGGTTCTTTTGCCGGGGTGGCGACGTTTCCCACCGGACCCTTCCGTTGAGCACAGACGGGCCGACTGGAAGTACCGGAAAATGGTGTAGGGGCTTATTTTCCTGTGGCACTCGGGCTCCGTCGTCAGGCTTGCAGTTTGGCTTTGGATGCCACTCTTCTAACGATTTCTTAGGTTTTGGCCCTCCCTGCTGTCTGTTCTCCCGTCTCACGGATTTTAATTTGTGGTTTGCTGTTCTTTTGAATCTAGCAAATTTAGGGTCGTCTGAAAGAATCGTCTCTGCTTTCCTTACCCTGCCATAGGTATCTATATTTAATTACGTTCATCCTTTTTAACATCTAGCGAAATCATACGTACAGATTTAAAGTGTCAAATTCGATGAGTTTTAATAATGTGTAATCCATGTATCTTAATCAAAACAGAACATTTCCACCTCAGGAATTTCCTTGTCATTTCCCTTCCCAATCAATCCAACCCCCATCACCATTCTGATTTTTAAAAAAACTTTATGTAAACAGAATCATGCTTTTATGTCTGGCTTATTTCGCTCGACATGTTTTTGAGATTTAGTTATGTTGTTAAGTCAGGGTTTTTTTTTTCTTTAAAGTTTCTTTCATCATAGAGCTTGAGATTAGTCCTACTGTTAAAAATTGGAGTTATGAACTTCTGCACATTGTTTTTATGTTGACGTATATCTGATTATAAATTGAGGTAGAGCAGTGGTTTTCAACCTCGGCTACACTTTGGAATCATCAGGGGGCTTTAAAATGCTGCAGCCTAAACCAATTAAATCAGAAGCTCTGTGGAACCTAAGCATCTGTACTTTTTAAACTCACAGATCATTCCACGGTACAGCCAAGGTTGAGAACCACTGAACTAGTTCATCTCTACCGGGTAGGAAACCGTATTCATTGCACTGAAATGTTTTTCGTTTTGTTTTTTTTTTGTCTTATTTTGTTTTGCAGTGCTGCAAGCCAGGGCCTCTAGCATGCTAGCCAAGTGCCATACCATTGAGCTGCACCCCTACTCCAGCTGCATTCTTGCGATGTTCATCTTTGAAAGTTACTTGTTTTAACTTTTCTGCAAAAGCATTATTAGCAATAATATTAATACCAAAATGTTGAGATTATAATACTATCTTAAAAACAAATATTTCAAACATAAATGCACCCTCAACCTTCTTTAAAGTGAAAATATAGTGCCACAAACTTGCATTATAGATGTTGCTAGCAGTTTGCCTCCTGTGAATATAGTTTTTCTACAGTTTTCATCACTCAGCGACATGTTTAATCAGCTTCAAACATTTTATGACTCAGTTTTCCATCTCTGTGCATACATGTGTGTATGTATTGTTACAAATGCTTTCAATTTTCTTTGAACATAGGGTGTAAATTATAAAAGTTTATATTCAAGCATTATGTGACTCCAAAGTTTTCTATGTACAGGTGTCCCAAAAATCTTAGTGCTGTTTTAAGCTTTGAGAATTTATGAAGTATAAATTAACAAACTTACAAAAATCACCACTTGAAATCTTATTTAAATTTCTTTTATGCTTATTTAGTTTTGTAAATTTCATATGATTTTGAATTTTAAATCTTTTAATCCCTCTAACAGAAGGTGCCAAACATTGACTGAAACAAAAAAATTAAAATACATTCATTGTTCAAAAATTCACAATACCAAATAAGCATGAAAAAATTTAAATATTTTTTTCAAATATTTTGTGTCAATTCATAGAATGTATATTTCTGGTTATTAAAACTTCAAACTACACCAAGACTATTGGTACACGATGACATTCGGATTAACCTTTGCTCTCATATAATGATTCTGTAGTTTTTAACAGTGTTCTTCCCTGGGAGAATAATATTAATTTAAGTATTGAAATGGCCTCTCTTTTGTTAGCCTGAAGATTTGTCTGGACCACTTGCTGAGACAAGTACCAGCTACCGTGTTGCTATTTGATAACCTAGAATATGTAGGAAATGAGTTGATTGTGCTTTTCTGTTCCCAGTTTAAAAATTTAGTTATTCAGCTGAGTTGGTGGTCTCATCAGGAACCCAGCAGTCAAAACAAAGCACTGAATTGAATCCTGCTGGTTGCTGGAATTTAGCAGTCGTGGAAGCCAGCTGGTGGCAGCAGAAGAGACCTGACAGAGGATACACAAAATGGCAGCAAAGAATGCTTCATTCTAAAAGATCACGGTATTTTTCCACAGATTTGTGTATTAATTTTCAAATTATTTCAGGTTTCTGTCAAGTAACTATTTTAAATCGAGCACACATAGCCAAGCTTTTATTCATATCATTTTTATATAGTATACTATTTTTGGAGGGGCACCAAATGTATATTTTGGTTAAATGCAGAATGACGGTATGTTAAAAAATCAATATTTGGCAGAAGCATAATATCATCATCTTACGATAACTTTCATAACTGAAAGAATATACATGAAAAATAGAAATTTTAAATTAAGTTTGTATATTACAATTCTATAATTTAAAATGTATTTGGGTAGCCATTGTATAATGTACTTATATTTCTAAACAGTATGCCGTACACAGTAAATACATGTAATTTTAATTTGCCAATTTAAAAATATTAGTATTCAAAGTTTTTTAAGTTTGACATTGCATTCAGGTGTATTTATTTCTCATTATTGTAAGTTGATATTTTGCTTCTGGGGCTATTATACTCTACATTTATGACACTGAATTGCGCCAATCAGGATAAGTTATGCTTTGGAAACAAGCCCTAAAATTCAGGGGCTTTAAACAACATAGATGGATGTTTGGTTTGTGTGCTATGTGTCCGTCATGGGCTAGTAGGATGATCATGTAGGAAGGTAGTAGGCCAATGGAGACCCTACCATTAATCATGCCTGCAGCTCAACATGAGGCTTAGGGTTCACCAAGGCAGGAAAAGATTTTACTGGGGGGTCTGCCGCTGGCAATGAAATACTAATAGCCCAGATGTGCAATTTCACATCCACTTGGGTTTCATTAGCCAAAGCTAGTCATGTGACTATACCTAATTAAAAAGGTAGAAGGGTAATCCTCTAGAAAAGAACATAACCTGAAAATAAACATTAGTGTTACCTACTAAATAGGTGCTCACTTTCACCTAAGGGGGTAGAATAGCAAATAATATTTGGTTAGCTCTGCTGTCATGGGATACTGCTAGTGTTGGTATTTCCACGGAATTACTAAGCTTTCCTTTACGTTTAATAGGAAGTGACTAAGGTAAAAATCTTCATTTAAAATCCTAGTCTTGGTGTGGTTGCTGATAGTGCAGTTTGATTGAAGCACATAAATATACAGACAAATACTTCAATTACCAATTGAAGAAAATAGTTTCTGAATCTTTTCAGAAAGTCTTGTTCTAACTTACATTTTTAATTTTAATTTTTTTGCCTGCATTTGGTGCTTTATACAATCACTTGAGTAAAATATGTTCTTAAACTTTGGTTCTGCAAATGTGACAATGGAATGATATAATTGGTTTTCAAGAAACCAATCATCTTGGTCCTTCCATCTGCATTTCAGTTTCATTGCATGTATTCAATATCAGAGTAGAATAAGAATATCTTTCCAGCAGCTATCATGTAAGAAATATTTACACACTGAAAACTGAGGTTTTTTTTTTTAAACTTCTTCCACTGGTTGCAGCAACCAGACTACTTTCTCTGCATGCAGTTTTAATAATTATAAATATATTTTAATCTATTAAATATATTGTTTTGTTTCATTCAATATGGCTTTAAATGTGTAACTGCTATTCTAGTTTGTTTAACCTGTTAAATATATGACAAGGTAATTCCAAAATCTTTGGACATCATGCATTTTGTCTTAATGATGTTTGAAGAAAATGGCTCACTAGCTTTTTTCTTATAGACAGTTATGCAGTGGTACCTTGGTTCACAAATTTAGTTCTTCCCATGATTCTGGTTGCAAATCAAATTGGACAAGAACTGGATCAAATTCAGTGGTTAGGTTCAATGTTGACCTTTTGGGGAAATTTGATTCAGCTTGTGACCATTTCAGTTTGCAACCAGAATCATGGAAATAGTTAAGTTCATGAACCGAGGCATCACTGTAATTGCTCTGTGTGTGTGTCTGTGTGTTCTGTGTTACTGCTTTTTACTTTCAGTTCAGAAAGGTATATGAACAAAGCATTTTATGCTATGGTTCACAAATCACACTTAAACTTCATTGTTCACTGTATTATCAATAGCAATTGCATGGCACTCTTTGATTTTCCATTACACGTATAGTTCTTCAGTGAGACTGTGTTATGTTTATAGCTGTATGAGTCCTCAACAATTTCCCAACCATTAAGCACAAGCAGGGTTGAATTCATTATTAATTCACTGTGCCATCCAGCTTAAATATGACTTGCAGTTGTTTCTGTATCTCCAAATGTCTGCTGTCCAAAATAAAGTAGTGCATTTAATATCATAGCTTTTAAAATTACAGCAGACTACAATTCAAGAAAAGGTTTTCTGATAATCCATGTTTAGAAGGAATTTAAGATTCATAGTTCCCACATATCTCAAGAATCTTCATCTTTCTGTATGGAACATAGGCAGTTTCCAGTCCAGTTATTACTGTTCTTAGGCAGTCTTTGTCTCACAGTATTCATGTCTTGTGTAATCTACTCCCTTGTATGTTAGCTAGGTGTGTGCTTGCATGTCTGTAATCTCAGTACTCTGGGAGGCTGAGGCAGGAGGATTGCAAGCTGAAGCCTAACCTGGGCACTTAAGTGACTTAGGGAGAATTTGTCTCAAATATAAAATAGAAAAAGGACTGGGGATATAGCTCATTTAGAAAGTCCCCAAAGGAAGACCATTGGGTAAACTCTTGGAAATATGTCATATGCAGAACAAATGAATGAATTGAGTATATTATACCTGAAAATTGATCTATGATTTTCAGATTTTAAAAATATAGAAGAAAAGCCCAAACAAGCAGCAGTAGAAATTACTCAGCCATATGGACTTCAGACCTACTGGAGGACAGTTCATAATCAGAATTTTGTGAGAGAATTTATTGTTCTCCAAGTACAGCTAAGACTAAAAGAGGTAAATTTCCAAGACTCTGGGCTTTAATGTCTACATTTACTGAAAGCCCATTACAGCAGCTCTGACTCATTTAAGATTGCCAGTTGACATCAAGGCAACCACCAGCTTTAGTGCTCACTTACTTCTCTGGATTTATAAAAGGGTGGGGGGAGAGAGGGAGAGAAGGAGAGAGGGAGAAAGGGAGAGAGAGAGAGAGAGAGAGGAGAGAGAGGGGGGGGATAATCACAATTTAGCAAGACCCTATCTTAAAATTTAAAGCATTTTTTTTCTTTGGTACCAGGGATAGAACTAGGGTCCTGCATTTGTGAGGCAGGCACTGGAACCACTGAGCTAAATCCCTGGCCCTAAAGCAGTTTTTTAAAAGGGCTGGTGATATAGCTCAGTGCAAAGGCCTTGGTTTCAATACCCATTATCACAAGTAACTGACCTTAGGATAGTTGCTGTCAGTCATAATTTGGATGGCCTTTAATGCTCTTTGTTGATTTAATTGAACTGTTAGAAATGCAGGTTCTCTAGCCCCACCTATACCTGCAAACTTTAGGGATTAGAAATTTTAAGAGATAAGGCCTGCAGGTGGCAGTTTAACACACCTTTGAGGAGATTTTGCTGCACACTTAAGTTTAACCACTAGCTAACGAAAACATACATTCATTGAGTATTCTGGGAGCCTTGCTAACTTTAGAGAGTCTCTGTTGAACCATCTTTGTGTTAGGAACCACTCTTCTGTCTTTGTATCTTTGTAGAATAAAGTTTCATCTTCAAGAACACAAGGATTGTACCCATGGCACATACCTGTAGGCTCAGCTATTTGGGAGGGATCATTTAGGTCCAGGAATTTGGAACCAGCCTGGGCAACATACAGAAACTCTTTCTCAAAAGTAAAATAAAAACACAGGGATTAAGCCTCAGTTACTCCTAGCCAAAACTATGCCAAACTAATCAGTGGACTGATTTAGTAATCACACACCCTTGCATCACACACACTAGATTCAGCCACCTCTGAAGAGTTACTCCCCATGACTGCATGAGCTTTGACACCCATAACAGTTGGATTTAGGATAACTTTTGGAGGGGTAGAACCAATAAAACTCAGTGTTAAACACTACAATCCTAGAATGTTCCTTGGGCATTTCTTCTTTGTTTTTGTTTTACTTTTTAGTTTAGTTTGTTTTTTTATTTGAGACAAGGTCTTGCTCTGTAGTTCAGGTTGGTCTTGGAGTCACAGTGATCCTCCTGCCTCAGCCACTGAGTCCAGGAATTATAGGCATGCACCACCATACCTGGCTTTTTTTTTTTAACTTTAAGAACCAGTCCAATTTTATTCTTTTGTTTTTGTTTTTGGTACTCGGGATTGAACTCGGGTCCTTGTGCTTGCAAGGCAGACACTGGAACCACTGAGCCAAACCACTGGCCCAATTTTATTCTTAAACATACATTCTCTAGAGTTTGATGGTCTGGATTCAGATTCTAGCTCTACTATTTATCAGGTGTGCATTATTGCAAATTCATTTCTTATTTGTTAAATGTGGATAATGTCAGCAAGTGTTATTTCAAGGACCAAATAAGATACTGACTAAAGCACTTCTCATGGTATATGGAGCATAAATTTTTAATTGGTTCAGTTCGGAATGAGAGCATATTCTTAAATGAGATAATGAGGGTTGTCAAAAAAAGAAAAAAATAAAAGCTGGGCTGTAACTGAGCAGTAAAGCACTTACTTAGCATGTGTGAGGCCTTGGGTTTGATCCCCAGCACAGTAAGGTAACAGAAAAATTTGCATTTATTTTACAGAAAGATAATTTTAACATTTTAAATTTTTATTATTTCTTCACAAAACATGAATTGTGTCAATGATGATTCTCATAGATCATTTGAAAAATTTAGCTTGCACCTTGTCCAAGCCCATTTTGTGCTGCTATAACAGGATATCACAGACTGAGTATTTTTTTTATTTTTATTTTTTATAACAAAATATTTAGGGGCCATGAATTTAGATCAGTGGTTCTGCCAGCTGCCTTGCTAGCATGAGGGTCCATCCCTGGTACCAAAAACAAACAAACAAAAACATTTATTGGTACATTTTAGGCATACATAATGATAGCACTCATCATAGGGAATTTGCAC